TCGTCGGGGGATTTTTAAGCCTCGGGCTACTGACTCAGTAGGGCTTATAGGGTTTCGGGGTTAGGGCCGGTTTAGGGTTTGGGGTTTAGGGCTCTAGGGGTTTAGGGTTTAGGGTTTTAGGGGTTTAGGGTTTAGGGACCCCTGACCATTGGAATGGGGCTTTCGGGTTCCTCGAGCTCCCGCGCAAAACTATGAGTCTACGGCTTTGGTGCTTCACGGGTTTTGGGTCGATCGGGTTCTGGGAACTTGGGCGGAAAACCCCCGAGCCCTCAGCATGGGACACGGAGCCAGAAATCGCAGACGCTCCAAACCCTCAATCCCCAAGCCTCAACCCCAATCCGTAGCAAAACCCGCCAAAAAATTCTAGGACACCCTGACCCTAAACCCTAAACCCTAAACCCTAAACCCTGACCCTAAACCGCTTGCAGCTTGCAGCCGCGGGCGCGCTGAAGTTGTCCAAAGGCACTCCTAAGGAGTCCCACTCCTCCATGAGCTCAGTGGAGAGGAGGTCCTCTGAAAGGAACAGAAGGGTTAGGGTGTTATGGTGGTACGTTACTTCGGGACTAGGGGTTACTTGGAGGTTCATGGGTAGGTGTAATTAGGGTAACTATACTGAAGAGCCATATGAGGGGACTTATAACCCCACTTATAACTACTCATGAACCTCCAAGTATGGTGGTAGCTCAACTAGCTGTTTTTGTAGGCAGAGCCGGGCGGAGGAGCTGGCAAATTGCGGGTGTGGCATGGCTTATGGGTCTAGGGCCAGTGTAAGGGTTAAGTGCCCGCGGATTTTGGGGCTTGGGCTTGGAGCTTTGAGCTTTCAGACTGAGGGTGGAAAGAAAAAGATCATTGTTGAGTTCGACAATCGGCTGTACATCAGGTGAGGTGTACAAACCCGTCGAATGCTGAATTTCTGAATCTGGAGATTTAGTTAAAAGGTGTTTTCATGTTGGCTCTGCTGCTTTCTGCAACAGAAATGGGTGCCGTGTGCTCCAGGAGACGCAATCCAGGAGACGGAGGCTTACGCGGAGGGTTTCAGGATCAAGCTCAGGTCTAGAGTCGTGGATAGGACGTGCGGATGTCTTGGGCTCAAGGATTCCAGAAGGCTTGAAATCTACGGTCCAGAGTTTGCGGGTCGGGATTTACAGGCTTCAGGACGATGGCTTGAGCAGATGCTGCGCAGCAGGAACCATGAACCCAACCTCCAAATGATACCAAGATGTGACCAAGGCCGTGAGACAGACCCGCAAAGGGCTAAAACAGTACAAAACTACAACAGTCCCTGATACCTGCAAGTCTAACCTGGAAACACTGAGTCGCTTCATGCCAAGCCGGGCCAAGCCCTTACAAGAACTCTTACAACGCCCACATGCAAAACCATTTGGGGGCTTCCGAAAAAAGGGGACCCTTTATTTAGCACCCTAAATAGTAGGCTCCTCATTATAATAAGGTACCCCTAATTTCGGAAACTCCCACTTAACAAACACCCAGGTCCCGCCTGCCCTGCATCGGAGGCCAGCAATGCCGTGGAGCTTTTCGGTGCCGCCAGGAGCTCCACCTCACAGAGATCAGAGCTGGTTAGGTTTAGGGTTTAGAGGTTCTTTAAGGTTTTTCAGGGGCTTCCCAAAGGGGTTCTCCTTCCACTGTAGCAAGTCACATTAGGCCTACAGGGCTGCAGCTGCTCAGATGCTCAACTCTACCGAACGGAACCACTTACGCTCAACCTGCAGAGTCCCGACCTCCAGGGATCTCAACCCTCTCCGGGGCACATCGAAAGCGCCCTTGCCTCCAGTTCCATGACGACACTCAAGCGGCGTCCCGATGCGTCTGAAACCAGATGTACCTGCAGATGCGTATCAGGATATTCTGACACCTCGGATGCTGCTGCCGATTGTTGCCGCAAGCGTGAGGATGCTCGAGGAGGGCCCTCTGTTAGAAGCACCCATATCGCGGCTACTGCGGCTTGACTAGCGGCTTGACGACCACGACGATGACCACATCTGGTGCTTTTGTAAACCAGATACGAGTGAAATCTAGGCCTGGGTGGTCGACTCAAACTCAAGGCAAATGGAGGCAGGGGGCCACTTCTCTACCTGCCTAGTCGCGTAGTTGTTAAGTCTTCAACGTCTGCCCCAAACCAGACCAACACCTGCAACCCCTCACATAGAGTTGTGACAAGCATAGACAAGTCCGAACCCCAGACTCACTGACACTGCCTCACAAGAGGGGGGTGAAAGTTCTTGGTCGAGTGCACGCACCTTCACCATGTCCTCACTCAGGCCCAGAAGCTCGGCAACGGCCTTGCATAAGATAGGGAGGGTGTGCCACCAAGCTTCAGGTCTCAGAGTGCCTTAAGCCCGCTATCCAAGGTTTCCTCCTCTCAGTCCTTTTGTTGTGGAGCTTAGAAGCTTCGGGCTTGGCTTTAGGTGCTTGGGCGTTGCAGACATGGGATCAGCACGATGTAGAGTGGTTTGGAGGCTAAACGATGGTCAGTAGACGAGACTCGCTGTCGTGAGGAATTGCAAACGCGGTCGCGACAGAAGTCTGAGCACGAGGAGTAAACTCGTCGGCTAGACATGCCGCTCGCGGATAGAAACATGTGCATATTCTCAGTTTAGGATGCCTGACGGGCATTGTCTACAGTGGGAACTGCTGCCTACAGCTTCCTCCAGTGTTGTCGTTTGGTCTTCAGGTGATGCGCAGCCGCCACCAGCAATTAAAATAAACGTCAGCTTTTCCAGATCAATGTCTTCGGCAAGGCAAAGCCAGTATCTATCCACAAAGTCATGCAACTTTAAGCACATCCAACATCCTGCACAGAGGTGGGCAGCGTGTCTGCCGGCTTTACAAGCTACCTGGCACGTGTCACAAAAGAGTATCGGACCTACCGTACTGCACCTCAACGATGCTTCTTTTGCTGGGATCCTTCTCCATGAAAATGCCACGGTTTATGCGCCACACAAGTCCGTTGTAAGACTTCAAGTCTGGCCCCGGCAAATGCCCTTTTCGGGCATACTTGCGCATTGCCTTCCAAACCTTCTGCTTGTTGGCTGTCTCACTGCGTATATAGTTTTCTTGGAACAACAATGTGCGGATTTGGCTGTCAACAGGTGCAAGGTGCCACTGGGCAGTCAAATCTGTAAGGAAAGCGCTTCGCAATTGTGACATGAGGAACACACTGTCGGAAAGCATGCCCATATGTCGCAGATTGTGTTTGTTGTCACTGACGTTGACAAAAACAAGGCCAGCTTCTTGAATGTCGTTGTTGTACTCATCCAAATAGCCGAGCCTCTTCATCATTCTCTCAGAAAGATCGTCCGAATCTTCAAGAACAAAAGGGCCACCACCAAGTAAAAGCCGTCTTTGTCGTATGCCTCCATACTTTTGTGCTGCTTCCTTGCTGAGCTTGCTACAACAGGCCAGTGGAGTGCAGTAAGCATACTCCGAGAGCCGCGGCTGCCAAGAGTTTTCGCCATGTCGCACCAAGTCATACATCGTCCAAATGAGCTGTTCTATGGGAAAGACAGTGAGGGAGCCATGCAGGCCGACACAGTCCTTGTGAAAATGATGAAACCAAAACTTCACAAGCGTTTGGGGAGCACGTGTGATGATGTCGTCTTCATCCATCAACCACCCGACGGATTTCAGAAAATCCAGCAAGTACTTCGTTCGATGTAGGCAGTCTCCTGCAGGAAGAAACTCCGAGTCTGCCAGCTCATAAGTGCCGGTCTTGTCTGTGTGAAGGACACCCCGAACCTTGAAAGGAATGCTCCGCTCAGAGCTGAGATGTCGCACTTCCGCACCATGGGATTCAAATTGTTCGCGATAGAATGGCTGAATGTTTGGGCCGAATAAAATTGCACGCATGTTGCCCTTTATCGCGAGTCTGATTATCTCAAGCGTAAGTCTACTATCGGACGACAGGACCGCAAGGCATCCTGCTCCTCGGTTATGACTGAGACGCTCGACTTCTGAGAGCATCTCATCGTCCGTGGGCTGGCCTGATATTCCTCGTCGTGGAACCGGCTTGAAGTGTACTGCAGGTGCGGACTGAATAAACTGCTTCCACTTCGCATTATCCATCCGCCCGGGAGCCGCGAATACAGTTGTAGTAACCTTCCTAAAGTCACACTTCAAGCTCCGGATTGCATCCTCGATGTGCTGGATCGGTGCAACGTCTCCATCCACCAGGAACTCAACTTTTGCAAGCGGCTTTTTAGATGCCTTGGCAAAAAAGCGTCGCTGCAAAGATTGCGCTGCTGGGCTGCAGATGCTACCAGGTCCACCCAACCAACATGCTGGGCCTGGCCAGGATCAAGGGCACAGCGTTTAGATCGAAACCTACGTTCAAAAGGCTCGCTGAGATTAAGGGTTCGGGACTTATTTTCTGTTCATGTCGGTGGACGGCATCATGAAGCTGCGAACGGTCCAGAGTTCAACTTAATGGCAAGAGCTGCCCGTGGCGAGCTCAAGCCTGATCAACCCAGTCAACATGCCTGCTGCTCCAGTGAGTGCGGCAGCGGTAGGGAGGCACAGATAGCTGGCTGCAGCGGCCTCTTGGACAGTGCATCTGCCAAGGGATGAGATTCGTCCACGAAGCCTTGCGAAGGAAGCTTTAACGTTGTCGGACAGAACATGTGCTTCTGAAAAACAAGCGCGTACGTCGGAACGAAGAAACCATTCGGGTCCATCTTACCCTCCTGCGTTTCTCAGCTGAAAACTGCGGCTGCCATCAAAGCCGAGGCTCACGCAGCTCCGCGCCATGGCGATTGACTGAAGGCCGGCTCAAGCAGCACATAAGCAGCGATCTAGACGCCAAAAGGATGCTGTTGGGGTTTAGGGCTTAGGGTTTAGCTGTAGAGGCCCCATCATCTGTTCCGTGCCTGCATGTGATCTGTGCCTAAATTGCCTCGAGCCCAAGCCCAGCTCAGCAAACCAAGCGGTGAATGCGACACCAACAAGCTCCAGAATCCAATTGTCTTAAGTTGAGGATGAAACCTTCAGGGGGAAAAACAGAGAGACTGCAACTCCCACAGCCCTGTTATGGCCTTCCTGGCTCCATCCACGACGTTGCCCAATAGCTCCGGTGTCATGGCCGAGTCCATAAGGAACTGCAGGGAGAACCTGAAAGGTGAAGTGAAGCTTCTGGCTGCCGATTCGGGTATCTTCGATTAGGGAGTAGAGTTCTTCGATCAGGGAGTAGAGTTCCGAGGTGGCGTGGCATTGGATTTGGGGCTTCGCTCGAGTTTAGCAGGTATCAGTATCGGGAATCAGCACTACACCCTTTCAGCTGCAACCTCCGGATCGTGCCTGGCGCTAGTTTCGTTGCCAGGGGCTGGCGCGGTGCACGCCTCTTCCTGGCAAACTTCGCACTTCAATGCACGGGGAAAGGCTTCTATGAAACAGGACAGGGTTTGGTGGTATGTTTTGCTATATCTGTGTAACAATCCTAAACCCTAAACCCAAAAACCCTAAACCCTAAAACCTAAAACCTAAAACAGTATCTGTGTAGGACCCATCCCTCGGGTTCTGGGAGAAGCGCCCAGGCAGCATCCGTAAATCAGAGGACGTCTGATTGTCGCCAAAACTGTTATAAAGTATATGGGTAGTTCTCTATATAGGGGTCCCTATTTAGGTCCCCGCTACAGTACGGCACCCTCATGAAAAGAAACCCTGAATTCCAACAGCCCGGCACCCTGAAACCACCCCAAAAAGCTACACACTCTCCGAAGCCCAGCGAAGCTCGAAACCTCCTCCAAACATGAAGCCACGAACATCCACAACAAAACACATGGCTCGGCTAGTTCTCTAAATTGGGTCCCTTTTTCGGTGCCCAATATAGTACGGCACCTTTATTTAAAAAAGGACACCCAAAAGGGACCCTCATTTAGAACACTGCCCACATGCAACCACACCCAGACCCCTAAACCCCCCAAACCTAAACCCTAAACCCTAAACTCCCCAAACCCTAAACCCTAAACCCCAAAGCCCCCAAACCCTAAACCCTAAACCCCGTAAACCCCCCCAAACCCCTAAACCCCCCAAACCCTGCCCGAGCATGGGCCTGGCAAGCTTCGGCCTCGGCCGGCTTCCGACCGAAGCAAACGCCCAGGGCGGAGCCATTGCCGCCGCAGGTGACCTGTCATCTGTATCACTTATTAGAGGTGTGTGTTTGTGTGTGTGTGTGTGCGTTTTTTTTTTTNNNTTGGGGGTTTAGGGTTTAAGGGTTTCGGGGTTGAGGGTGTGCGGGTTTAGGGCCAAGGGGTTTCGGGCTCAAGGGGTCTGAGGGTTATTCGGGGTTTAGGGTGGGCTTTAGGGAAACGCAGAGTCAACAACAAACCGGGGCCGATGAAACGACAAAGTAGCTATTAACTAAGTAAGTACACAGGATCTAAAACTCTAACGCGATTGAGGGTCACGATAGTGATCATGGTGAACACAAGGACAAGGATGATGGTAATGCTGAACATCATCATCGTCGTTGTCGTCGTCGTCGAGTTCACCATCATCATCAGGACCTAAACGTCGTCGTTCTCATCAGTCTGTCGGCGAGCTGGTGCCAGGTGAGTGGTTCGTCGTCACTGTGGGCATGCTTGAGTCTGAAGCAGAAGCTCAATACCAAACACTACAACACAGTCTCTGAGGCAATCCTAAACTGAATCCCGGCACCAGACCTCAAAACCCCAAAACCTCAAATCGAAAAACCCTCAATCCCAAAAGCCGACTTTGAAGCAACCACCCCAAAAGACCTGACCACACCCTCACCTCGCGTCCACGGGGTGCGCAGTCGGCGCCACAGGCTCCCCAAGGGCCCACCTGCCAGCCACAGCCAGCGCCAAGCTGCGGCCTCCGTCCGTTACGGCTGGTGGGTGAGGGGTTGAGTGTTCGCAGCCGGGAGCTTTAGGGTTATGGTCTTGTTATAGTGGTGGAACATTTTTGGTGAATGTGGGGTTTGTCAGGAAGTCTCGGGTTATGTGTTTTCAGAGTTTATAGAAATTCGGGCTTGCAGGGTTCATGGTTTAGCGGGTTCATGTTTAGGGTATCTTGGTTTATGGTCTCCGCCTGTGCGCGGACTTTGGCTGCTGCTGAAGAGCTTAAGTGGCGTGAAAGGACTTGAGCAGTCTTCGGACCGATCCTGGCTTTATGTAACTATCAAAGCGTGAAGACGTCCCGGACGGGATTTATTGGAAATGGTGCAAGAATGAGGGCGCAGTGAGGCCTTCGCAAGACGGAGTCAGAATCACCCTTGACCGCCTTAACTCTTAAGCCCCTAAACCCCGAAACCCCTGTACTCCCAAACCCTTCAACCTCCAAAGTGCAAAGACTCTTTGCATCCCTACCCGAGGCCTGGCGGCTTCATCGCAAACCTTCGGCGGCGCACAGTTTCTTACATTTTGGCATCGTCATAGTAGGGCGCGGTGTATATCTACAACCTACCGGAAAGCGAACGGACTCATGAACATGCAATCATTTATTGAAGAAACGTAACCAGCATACATAGCCCACAGGAGTAGCTGCAGCTTGCGCGTTTTGGACAACCAGCAATGGCCGGGGTGGGTTATGACTACATAGCTGCGTTCCGTCTTCTTCTCCTTCCTCTTCTCCTCTATACTATGACACTCACTGCTTCTGCAGCAGAAACGATGCCGTTCGTCTGCAGGTGTATTCAGGTATGACGGTCTACAAATCTCTGATGCTTCATTGCCAAGGCGGGCGCTGGGTTAATAAGCCGAGGACTTCGAACCCCACATCCTAAGCCCTAAACTCGAAACCCTAAACCCTGCCCTACCTCTGCATCCGCCGGCCGTGGCAGGGCGATACAAAGGTCATCCCGCCCACCTGCCATGCGCAAGTTAGGGATGTAGCAACCTGATTAAGAATCCCTGATCCTGTAACCGAGATTTTATAATCCATATAGCGAGACCCAAATGAAGACGCAGGGTTAATTATCAGGTTCCTACACTAGGGCTTAGGAATTTGGGTTCAGGGCTTAGGAATGTGGTTCTTCCCGAACTTCTGGGGTTGAGAGTTTTCGGGGTTCATGCCGATTGAATTTATGCCCATGATCAATCGAAGTTCAACCGCCGAAATTCGCGGGGCCTGCAACACTAAAGCCCTGAATCATGCTCCCCAAATCTTAGGGTTATGCATCCCACATTCTAAACGCCTATAACGAGGATTTGCGGCACCAGGGCCTGAGCAAAGGACGCGGCGCTGGCGCAAACCGCGACCGCACCCGTCGCTGCAGTTCGACCAGCTTGCAACCTAGAGTTCAAGCTTTCGCTGTTCCTTTGGATCACCTACCTACCTTTATTCCCTTTCACCCTCTTTCTGGCTTTAAAACTTCACAGAGTAACTTTGACACCCTCTGCCCAAACGACACTACAAACACCCTAAGAAGCAACCCTCATAGAAGCACTAAAGGCAGACCCCACAGCTCACAGCTCAGCATGTGCGAGCGGCCGTCCAGTGACAGCCCACGGAGGCAAAGCAGGCCTGGCTAAGGAATTACGTGTAACCGAAAAGACTTACCTTTTTAAGGAACTATATATAGAAACCATACTAAGGAACCCCAAAAAGGTGGGTCTTTTCGGTTACAGGTAATGATTAGAAAAGGGTTCCTTCAAGTGTTCTACGCGGGCGAAGGCCTGGCAAGCACCGAGGGCCTTTTCGGGTTGTTCTGGCGTCCTAAGGCACCGCAATTACATGAGGAAGCTCCAGAAAACAAGGAGTCTTACACATTGAGCCCCTGAAGCCCCTGAAGGCCCTAAGCCCTCCCTGACAGAGCCCTTTGAACCCATTCGCCTGACCTCCACAGGCTTCAAAACTAGGAGTACCCATCGCCTCTAAAGGCTCACGGTTAAGGTTTAGGGTTAAGGTTTAGGGCTTAGGTTTTAGGTTTAGGGTTCAGGCCTTGAAGAAAGGGGGTCCTCCTTCAACGACCATCGGGATCCCTGACATAAGGAACCTGATTCAGAAACCTTGGGTCTTTTTTCGGGTTCTTTATGTGAGGGTTTTTGGAGCCAGGATTTCTGAATCAGGTTGCTACATTACAAAACTTTCAAGAATATTCTGCTTCCTGGTTCTGCCATCCCCGCCTGGGCAGTGACCGGCCCAGCGTTGGGACACCCACCAGGCTCGGAACCTTTGGCTTTTTAAGGTTTCCGGGTGTTAAATTTACAGGGTTTGGGGTCTTGGGGCTTGGGGTTTAGGGTTTAGGTTACTCAAAACCTCCTTGCTCTGGCTCTTCTCAGCAGTATCTGACCAGTCAATTTTCAGGCTCTCTGGCTGCGAAAGGGATCAAGGGAACCAGACCCCGGCGTCTGGATGATGAGCATGTGGGTTTTTACTGGGTTTTAGTAAGTTCTACTGGATATATATATATATATAAGGGGGGCTGTCTGTCTCTCTCTTCAGACCGTTGAAGGCAGGACACAAAGGGACTGTAAGGGAATGTTACTTAGTTCTAATCCATCGGACTAAGGTTATGGGCCGTAGACCCCCTCTTCATTTAGCACCTCAACAGCTAGTATGAACATTCCGTTCAGCTACACCCAAAGCCCTATGCTACCCCCGAAGGCCTCCTTTTTGTACCCTAAATGTAACACTGCTCCCCTAAAACCAATACCACTGCAAGTCCAATACCACTGCAAGCCTTGAAGCCCCCTAGGGTGCAGGGCACACTGATGATCTAAAGCCCTGCATTACCTTAAGGACCCTAAACTATAGGAATTATGGTATATTCATACTTATAGGTCATGCAGGATTTATACCATCAACCGTAGGACTCAAAACCCTGTTGTTTTGGTTACGGCCCCCCCAAACCGTACCCAGTCGTGAGCCGTAACCGCTAAGGCCAGTCAGGCCGCATTCCACCCGGCGCGTCTGCAGCCCCTCCCCGCAGCTGCTGTCGCAGGGTCCCCAGTCTCCTGAAATCTGGAAGAGTTTACGGTTTTGGGGTTCAGGGTTTAAGGTTCAGGGGTTTAGGGCTTAAGGTTTAGGGCTTAGGGCTTTAAGGTTTAGGGCTTAGGATTTGGGGTTTAGGGTTGAACTCTGGCAGAGCTTTTGTTGAATGCTCCTAGGAGGGTTTGGGGTTACCAAATAAAAATCTAAAGAGTCACGGTTAGGGTTTAGGGTTTAGGGATGGCTAGATTGGCATTCATTGGGTTTCGTGGAATTTTGAGGCATTGTGTGCAGGATTTTCCCAAGTTCGTTGAGCCAGTGAGGCATCTTCTGACCTCCACTGCAAACCTTCCGAAAGATCACCAACCTCCAACAACTAAGTACAGCCTACTTGGAGGTTCATGGCAAGTTATAACTGGGTTTTTGTAGGGTAACTCTACCTATAAACCACATTAGGGCACTTGTAACACCACATTATAACTATAACTACCCATGAACCTGCAAGTAACATCCTGAAATCCTTAGACAAAGGTGAAGCAAGAAGGCTGGAATTGTCCACGCGTAGCGATTTCCGTGGGCAGCAGCCCGCTACACCCTTTCCGACCCTTTGAGTCCCGTAGAAGGGGACCGGAAAATCCGGGATTCCGTCCCCTTTTTGGAGTCGTATATCAAGGCTTCTGTCATGAATTTCGGATCTTTATGAGGGTGCCCTCAAAAATATAATATGCCGAGGCACCGATGCTCCAGCCACATCCCTCTGATGAGCTGCAGGGTTCGGTGCTATTTGGCCTGGGAGGCCCAGCACGCTGAACCCTGACACCCAAAGCACAACAGTACCCAGAGAACCCAATACCCCTTAACTAAGGAATCTACCTGAAATCATAATATTAAGGCCTCTAGCCCCTTAGTTAAGCAATCTGCCTGAAATTATAGAGGCTTTTAATATTAGGATTTGAGGTGTATTCCTTAACTAAGGGATATTGGGTTCTCTGGGTTCTTGGCCCTAAGAGTCTGAACCCGAAGGTCCTAAAGCCACCAAATCCCCCGAACCCCGCCCTGTTCTTCAGGGCTTCGGTGGTGGGTTTAGGGTTTAGTTTAGGGTTTAGGGTTTAGGGTCTAGGGTTGATGCGGGTCAGGGGAACGGGACAGCTGTGCTGCTGTGCTGTGCGCTTCCGGACGGGTGCCGGGAGCAGGGCGTCGGTGTTTCAGGCTCACAGTAGGGGTTAATCACTAGGTTTTGGAGTTTGAGGTCTATTGATTCGGGGTTGAAGGGGGTGTTCTGTTTCTGTTGATCTAATCGCATTCTATCAGCATCAATCGAAGCCCGGAGGCCGGAGGCCGCGAACCCTATGCTCGCGACAGCTAGCCAGAATACAAAAGGAGACAGGAGGCAACGACCCTTCGCAGTTGTAAGGTTTGAGACGCCTTAGGGCCTCAGGGTGAGCCCCCCTAACATAAAAAAAACACGCTGAACTATTGTTGATGATCAAATCCTGCATTGGGTAATGCAGGATTTATACCATCAACCGTACGATCGTAAATCAGATCCGCTAACAGCCCACAAGAGCCGAAAAGCATGAATTCTCCGATGACCCGACGAGTAAGGCTTGTCTTTCGACCTCTGTCCTTCAGTACCGAAACTGTGCCAACCTGGACAGCTTGACCCGGAGCAGGTTCCACGGGTTTAGGGTCTGAAAGGGTTTGGGGTCTAGGGGACAAGCCAGGCCAACCCAAACCCGGAATACTGAAAGTTCGATGTCACTGAAATGCGGCCGCAGCACCGGCTCGAGCCGCAATCCTCGAAGGAGGATACGGGTTCAGGGCTTGGTGTGCCCCTGGGGTGATAGAGACATCGACAAGGTCGTACTGGCAGCCTGCTTTTGGGCAGTCAGAATGGTGATCAAACTATGGGCCATTGCCAGGGCCCGACTTGCGTATGATGGCATGGGCACTGCAGGTAGACTGAGGGAGGAGGCTTTGCTTTGAGCACGAATAGGTTACGGTTACAGGCTGATGCAGCGTAAAATCTTACACCCTGAACCCTAGACCTAGTGATCCCTAAACCCTAGACCCTTCCCGCAACCCTACACTCCCATCATATATTATTATAGGTGTAAACCACGAAACTCCTGAATTCTTCTAGAATCTCCCTAGCCCTGAACTTTTGAACCCTAGATCATGGGCCCTGGGCCTTTATCCCCGAACCTACAAGACCTGCAAAATCCTCTGATTTCCCGGAGCCCTTAGGGCACCTCGTCGCTGAGGGCCGATGGACAGCGCACCTCACGGTGCCGCGTGCCGGTGCCGCAAGAGCTGGAACCTTGAAATACAAAAAGGATCAACAGGATTATAGGGTTCAGGGTTTAGGGTTCAGGGGTTTAATTAGGGGTTAGGTTCAGGATCAAGACTTACCCAGAGAACCCAGTACCCCTTGATTAAGGAATATATCGTAAATTATCGAGGCCTTAATATTATGATTTGAGGGTACATTCCTTAATGAAAGGGTACTGGCTTCTCTGGGAAGGATTAGGGTTTAGGGATAAAGGAAGCCTGGGGGATTCCTCAGCTAGAGTCCTTGGAACATGCCATGCTCTTCTAGGTGAGGCTTTCGGGCATCGGCTTGAGGAGCCTTCCCTCCCAGGGTGTCGGGTTCTGTCTCTTTGCGTAGGAGGCTGCTGACTGGCGATCCGGTTTTTGTGCTTCTTTCATGAGCTTCTGTAGGATTGCCGTATCTTATATGCCATTTTAGATGATCTTCTCTTAAATCTTATATGATATCATATTCTATTGGGTTGTCGGAAGACTTTACGTTGGAACTTTGCCCAGCACGAACACGCACGTTGGCACCATGCCTTTCGTAATTAAGGCCTGCGAAACCCTAATTTATATATTATAGTACAACACAATGTAGTATGATATGATATTATCTAATATAACATAACTAGTACAAGATATCATACTATAATATAGCAAATAAAGATATAAAAATCGGTATAGCAGAATGTTATAGTCTAATATACCAGACGGCAATCCTATAGGATTTCATGAAACATGCACAGAAGGCACAACCTTGCGAGCCTGTACCAAACGCCAAAAACCGACACGTCCAACACTCCCTACTTCTACGCACACGCACACATGCTGCTCTTCCGACAGTTAGGCACAACGAATAAGCAATGCACAATGTCACCATAGATAGGTGTAGAAAAATACATACACATGCATATACTTACACATACACAAAATACATATACTTTTCCGGTTCTTAAGTGCATACATCGACATGCGCATGCATGAACACACTTAGTAAGAGCTATAAGGAAACAATCAACCTCTACAGTGACTCTACAGCTTTTCTCGTG